TTTCTATTTTTCTTTATTATTGTAAAAATGTTTGTATTGATTTATTTTTCTTAAATGTCAAAGAATTATATGAATGAACACAATATCTTTTTACATATAAAGAAACTAAACCTTATCAAAGTTAAAACTTAAATTTGCTCAGATAGCTAGAAAGTAGAAGACATGCATTTGAATATAGCTTCTTTAATTCCAGGGCTAGAGGGAAGCTTTAAATCACGTTCCCCCATTGTTTGTGTTAGACAGTCTATGTGTCTATTACGGTTTTTCCTGGGTCATATCTGCCCAGCCAAGACATAATTTAATTCAGAAGAAAAAGTTCCATGAACAAATGCATTTAGGAAATATTTTTCTCCAGCCATATCCCCATCTCAGAGGTTGCATTGCATATTATATTAAAATGCTCTGAGAAATTTTATGCTTACTTAACAGGTTTTGCCATGCAGATGCGTTGAAACATATTTCTTTTTATTTGCCATATGCTGCTAATGAGATGCTACCAAACGCACGTGTGAAGACCTAGTCTAGTTTCCTCACTAACGCCAGTGGTGAGAAAGAAGGGAAGGAAAGCAGCAATGCTGCAATCAACAGACAACATAAACTAAAGATATAGTACAGAAACTAACATCCAGAAACTAAACATGTGTACAATGTAAAGCAACTACCATGCCTTACTAAAACAATAATGATAGAACTCTATATTGTCCAAAAAATAGGATAACAAAATTAAGCCCATTTCCAGACTATAACTGTGCCAGAGACATTCACTCTGTGTGCTGTAGGCTATGATGACCAATGCAGTGGGCTCCAAACTAAGAGTGAGGAAGAGGTCTCCCAGTACCCTCAGTTTGTGGCTCTCCATGAGAAAGCCCTGGCCACGCTAGGAAGAAGATAGGGAAGTAAGCAATGTTTGATGCTTGTGTATGCCACCTTCCTTCAGCTTGAAATTACTCTAGAATGCCCAGTTCTCCACTGTCCACAGATTCTCCAAAGCTTTGAGTAGCTCTCCCTCCAAACTCACTAACTCCACATTCTAGGAAAGTTTCCAGTACCCTTCATTCCAGTCTCAATTAAAGCTAGAAGGGCAATCAATTGTGTAACTAATACAATTGCTACCAATTTGTAAAAGATAACTTTCAGTTTTCTAGTCACTGACTGCGGATTCTAAGATGACTCTCAGGAATTTTAATGTACCCTAGGAAATGTCATAAGTTTTAATCATAAGATAGCACAGGTTTTAGTACATGGCCAGATTTTAGATATGTTGATATAGGAGAAAGGAAAACGTATGGAATGCAGGACAATGGAATTCTGTACCAGAAAATATTAGGCAATGGAGAATTGAATAGAAATTAAACCCTCTCTCCATCACTTGCTCACTAATAAATCCTCTGTACAAAGCACCCTGGCACCCAAAGGTCCACAGTGTTTAAGATGAAGGGATCTGAGTTTGCAGACTAAGAATGACTAACAAAGTAATTAGAACTCAACTTCCCAAGGCAGTAATATGCACATTTAAATCCATGTTCTTTGCCTGTCCATAACCTGATACATGGGGCTGACCCTTAGTTTACACTTACCAAACAGACATAAACGGGAGAGAAAATTCTCATGCCTTATTATAGGCCAATTTATTTTTTTTATTTTATTGTGGTTATGGGCTGGTTTCTTTTATGGAGCATTCTAGATGGCATCTGAAGAAAAAGCATCCCCATCTTGTGGCAAGGAAAACAAATTCCCTTCATCTCGTTGCTAAATTGCATGCTTCTTTCCAACTCCGTACTTCACACCGGCCCAGACGCTTTAATGAAAACCAGCTAAGCAAGCTAGTTTATCACACTGGCAGCTGGTGGGCAGCAAAGGCAAGAATCGTGGGACTGAGGCATTAGGCGATAAGAGAAGGAAAGAAACGATACCAAACCTGTGAGGCTAAGATTCGTCAGCCCATGAGTCAGAGGACGCTCAGTGTGATATTTAAACTGTTCTGCAGCAATCTTATCCTCTGCTTTTGACATGCCCTGTGCAAATTCCCAAGTAATACCAGAGAGCTGCCTGGTTTGCTCAGGAGAATTCTGGGGGCTTGGTGTGCTATACTCCTTCCTCTTGTCTCTGTCTAGTGTTCGACACAGGAACACTAGACAGATGAGAAAGAAGCACCAACTTTGAAAACACAATGTGTATAATTGAGAATTTGTACATGCTTAACATTTTCCTGATTTTAGTAGGTTTCCTTTGTATGAAAAGAACATACCAGTTACCCAAACACTAGATCTGTGATAGTAGAACAACTTCTTACCACCTTGATGAGAAAATTAGTCCCACTCCTGTGGAAACGCATGATCTTGGACTTGACATGCCTGGTTATGCTGAAGCTACCCCTGCTGGGAGGTGAACCCTTCCTTCCTGTGCCTCTATTTCCACGTATCTTCATTAGCTGAGATCGGTGGCCCAAGTCAGCCATGGCTGGCATATTATGACACAAAATGGTAGACTCCATAAACAGGGACGATTGTCTCAAAAAGGGTATATATTTATTGCTACCACTGCTGCCAGAGGAAAGTGTTACAGTCTATTCTGCCAGGATCGTCTAAAAAACACATCCTGCTTAGTATATATCTCTAAGACGCTCAAAGTAAGCAAACCTTAGCCTCACAAGAGCTACCTCATGGCCTCAGAATAAGAGTCCTGAGCAAACTTTTCTTTTCCAAGTATCTTAGTGGCTACTCACCCTGAACTTGTAGCTTTAACCAAGGAAGAAAAGCTGTTTCTATCCTTGGCATTTCATATGAGAAGCTTATTATTCATACACGGCTACTTTAAAATCTGATATGAGGAAACTTCAGTAAAAATCACCATTATGCTACAATCATAAAACTAGTAAAACTTGATGAGTATGGAGTACGCAAGAAGTTACAAGGAACTGGAAACCCAATATAAAGCCACTGAACTTGGGCTGCTAACACAGCTTAGTGGGTAAAGGTGTTGCCTATGCCAGGGACCTGAGTTTGATCCTTAGAGTCCAGCTGAAGGTGAAAGGAAAGGACTGACTACCCTGACTTCCACACACACATGCACACTGTGACACATTTGTGCACCCCTCACACTGAATACCCATACAGTAATAACAACTCAAAATTAAAAATAAATCATTGAAATTATAGATAGTTATTCTAATATATCTGTAATGGAAAGAATAAAGGGTCAATAGAAAAATACAAAGAGACACACACAATAAATTAACCTGTAGAAAAAGCAAACTTTTAAGATTTCCCAACAGATATTTCCAAAATGAAGTGTTGAATGGTGTAACAAAGGAGGACACAATCACACAAACTTATTGGACCATTTTTTTCTTTCTTTCTTTCTTTCTTTCTTTCTTTCTTTCTTTCTTTCTTTCTTTCTTTCTTTTTTCAAGACAGGGTTTCTCTGTAGCTTTGGAGCCTGTCCTGGAACTAGCTCTTGTAGACCAGGCTGGCCTCAAATTCACAAAGATCCGCCTGCCTCTGCCTCCCAAATGCTGGGATTAAAGGCCTGCACCACCACCACCTAGCCTATTAAGCCTTTTCTTATCCATCATGTACATGCTGAAGACAGGGACCTAATTCAAGAACCCACAGTTATAAGTGCTTAGTTTATTCTATTGCACCATAACCAGACTAGCTTTAGTTTGATTAGTGTATAGTCTCATTTTTTTTTGTTTGGTTGGTAGTTTACTTGAGACAGGGTTTAGATATTTCTTGATGCTTTCTGAAATTATATACATATAAATAATATTATATAAACTGAGCACCCTTAAAGAAAAAGATGCCACAAATTTAGTGGTGAGCAAGCAGGGTATGTTTCAAAAACATTTAACAATTAAAATTAAAAAATTGTGTGTGTATGTGTGTGTGAACTTGGGTATGTGTGTTTAATAGTATATTTAGCAATCAGAGAACAACCTGGGGTGTCAATCCTTTCCTTCCTCCAAACTAGCTGGACCCCCAAACTTCTAGGGATTGTCTCGTCTCAACCTCCTATTTCCAAAGGGTAGAGTCAGAGCCAGGATTACTTTGTCTATGTGTTTAGCTTTTATGCGGGTTCTGGAGATTTGAACTCAGGTCCTCACGCTTGCAAGCAAGTAATTTTACTCATTAAGTCCTTTTCTCATTCTCTAGTGCAACTTTCATAGCTGTTTTTGTTTTGTTTTTATTTTTTGAATTTTGGTACTGAAACAAAGAAGTGCTTTTAAAGAAAACAGTGATCTGATAATAAAACAAATCTTGCTAGTAACTGAAGGGTTAGTCAGCATGGTTTCTTTTAAAAAATTATTGAATGCTTACACATTTTAATCTAAAAGTACAAAAATCTAGCAGCTTCAGGCCGGGAGATAAAATAGCAACCAAGGAGCACAGAACATTCTTATTCTCATTGAATTGCCTCTTCTCAAAATATCACTAATCAAATATTGCATATAATTAAAATGTTTAAAGGTAGAAAGTGCAGGGGAAAGTGCGATATCAAACAAAGGGACACCTTGGAAACGATTTTCCCTAGAATAAAATCAAGGTATTGATGAGCCAACTCTCAAACGTTTTCAATTTCCGTTTATGCAGCATGGCGTCATTAGGAGAGATTGGGACAGATTTACTTCCCTTGTTTCATTTGGGTCTGGACATGCTGACAAAAGGAGAGGGTTTGAGCAAACTGTGGCGTGCAGATGTGTTTTTCCTTACTTACTACCCACAGGGCTGGCTTGTTTTCCCTGTCAGGTTTTCACTCTTTAATCTTTGTTTAGACCTTTCTCAGCAACTAAAAGGATTTTCCAGACATCCAAACAATGGTAATAAAAATATTTCCCAGAATTACCAGGTCGCGTTCCAAACCACGGAAAGCATCCTTACAATCAGAGGCCACAATTCTGTTTTTAAAAGTCTCACTGTATCAGGCCCACACAATTGCCTTTAACCATCAGGACCTACGAAAACCACCAGCTATGAAGTATAAAGAGCAACATGACCGACCTTCAGGGGAGAGATATGAGACTGTAGGACGTATCCGTGGACATTTTCAATTTGCGAGAGGTTCTTCTCCGATACGTGCACCAGTTCTGGCCCTCTTACTTCATGAGTTAGCCGAGGTAAGGAATGATCGTGTGGCCCGTCCTCATCTTGGTAGCGATACTTCTAGGAGTAAAGAAAAGAGGGAAGAGATGCATCAGTGTTGAGAGGGATTCCAATAGTTTGGACTTAGCAGGACATACTGTATGAGTATAGTTGGCTTTGCCAAAGGTTAAACTGCAAACTCTTCTAGGGATCACCATATACTTGGTCAAGTCTAAATAAAACTGCATCAGTATTAAACAATGCTTACTATTTTATCATGACAATATACTCTATTTCTGAGACAAAGAAAAACTGGTAACAAATAAAACTGAGAAAATTTATTTAGACAGAGAGAAACTATTTCTCCAAATAACAAGACTAGCTACAGAGTGGCTAATACAATTCAGTCATGGATGGAAACAAAAGCAGAGAGGAAGAAATTAGAACTCTTATGTCTTACTCAGACACTTAATTTTGCTGCTGAATCTGTCAGAAGTTTAAATTCCCTTAGACAATGAGGGGGAAAAGTGCCACCCACAGTATTTCTATAAGCTTGAAAGGAAAGATAATTGCTCTTTCTTCAGTTCAACCCCTATGAAGAAGACAGCTTTGGGTTTGCTGCATTCTAGGACAAAATATTACCATTTCTAGGAATTAAGCTGGTTTTTAAAGAACTTCAAAAACCCAAACAAGAGTTTGCTCAGATGACTACTGGAGGCTGAAGGGAGACTTCCTTCTTTTTTGTTTTCTTTCTCTCTGCGCTCACCAATCCTCTGCATCCCCAGAACAGCAAGGGACTTATCTTGCAAAGGCCGGTGCTAGGTGTTTCCACACCACTCTCAGAAAGATGGCCAGGAGAAAAAAAGGTCAGGACAAGAACTGGTTAGAGGGAACGCAATCGTTCTTGTTGGATGTTCTCCACCTTCAGCCATGGTTAGAGTTCCAGGACCTGGGATTCTAGATCTTGATAGCTTCCTGACCTTCTACTTTAGAGCTGTTCCCTTGGTGAGGCACACTTTTTCAAAGTCTTTGGCCACATAAGGAAAGACAGGGACACCATTCTATGTCCAACTCCCAACCTAGCTAGTCCATTGTTTGCGTCTTGATTGGTCTCTGTGTCCCATGCATTACACAAGAGCATTGGGGTCAGGGATCCAGACTCTGTCATGAGTGCCTTCTCAAGTTTCTTTCCCTCTGTATCAGATCTGCTCCTATTGCCCCTCTGTTTTGAGCGCATCAGGCCACTAAAAGTTTGTCTTCTTCTGAAGATGCTCTCGCTTAATTTTGAGATGAAAAATAGGCTTCCTTGAAATCAGTTTGCAGAGAGACTCATAATTTGGCCATAACAAGAGCCACTTTGGGGTTAATAATTTATGTTGCCATCCAGTTTTAGATGCTGACTATCAGCACATGCATTTTCGGGGAGTCTACGCAATGGCCAAAGCATGCCAATCTCAAAGCAAAAGCAAAACAAAACAAAATGCACACACACACACACACACACACACAAAACAAACTAATGAACTATTGGCAGTACCATAGGTGCATCAAACAAAGGACTCTTGAATTCTGCTTGACTCTGTGATATTCCATTTTGCCTATGACAAAACTAACATTTGTGGAGGTGAAAATTACTTTTAAAGCTCATCATCAAGAGAGAGGGTTGAATATGGTACCCTGTCCAGATAATTTAAACCTGAACCTTCTTTCTCCTATCTTTACTCTACTGTCTATCCACATAAGAAGATGAAACCAATTATGGTATATANAGAGAGACAGACAGAGAGAGAGAGAGAGAGAGAGAGACAGAGAGAGAGAGAGACAGAGACAGACAGAGACAGAGACAGAGACAGAGAGACAGACAGAGGGAGAAAGACAGAGAGAGAGAGATCTCCTGATCATATTTAAGAGAATATGGTGTGGCCAGGCATGGTGGCTGTGTATCTTTAATTCCCGTACTGGGGAAACTGAGGCAAGAGAACTATGAGTTTGAGGCAAGTCCAGGCTTCTGGACAGTGGGCTACATAGCAAAATCCTGTCTCAAAAAGTCAGTTTGTATTGTTGAGGACTGTCTAACATGTCCTTAGATTCGCATTATCATATAACAGATGTCAATCTTTTAATCCTCAATCTGTTCTCATAATTCCTCGTGCTTGCTACATTATAATCTTTTATAATATACATTGCCAATTTTCTACTAATCTGTATTAATCTTGAGGTTTGAAACAAAGTTGACAGAGTTTGACCTCATATCTCATGCTCCTTAGACAAGTACCTATCATGTAATGTTCAACAAGATTTGCTAAGTGAATAAATACATGCATTTTGAGGAAATGGGGAGGAGGGTAGGTTTTAGCTAGATGAGATACAGAACTGTTTGGGACTGTTAGATGCAACCTCTTTCATTATAAAGCCATTGAAAACCAGGTTTAAGGAAAATCACAATGATATTGTTTGCTCAACACATAACAAAAGACATCAGATTCTTAAATTTAATGTGCTTTCCTCATTATTCACATCTGGATTTGCTGAGACTAGAAATTGGAAAAAATGCAGTTTTGGAGTGAAGAATGATGCAATATTTTAATTGAGTTATACTTACACACAATGATACCAATATATACCGTGATAAGGACCATATATATAATCAAATTCTATGGAAGCAAAAATGGGTCAGAATCAACTTTGCCTGAAGCTTTACAGTTTAAAATGGGATCTCATATAGGAGAGGGTGCTGCTTGTTGGTTCCTGGCCACTTAGCCCCAAAATAATCACACAGAAACTATATTAATTAATTCACTGCTTGGCCCATTAGCTTTAGCTTCTTATTAGCTAACTCTTACATATTAATTTAACCTATCTCCATTAATCGCCACATGGCTGTGGCTTACCAGGTAAAAATTCCCAGCGTCTATCTCTACTGGGCTACATGGCTTCTCGAATCTGACTCTTTCTTCTTTCTCCCAGCATTTAACTTAGTTTCCCTATCTAACTATGTTCCCCTATAGCTCTGCTATAGGTGTAAAGCAATTCCTTTATTCATTACTCATAATTACAGCATATAGAGGGGAATCCCACATCAATCTCAAATGTTTTACAAAGCAAAAGAATATTCTGTATAAACTGCAAAGTCTTATAACAATCCCACTTTCAAGGCCAGTCTGAATGACATAGTGATCTTGACTTGAATAAGAAAAGAAAGCATATATGTAGCAGGAAATTATCACAATAAACGGAAGATCAAACAATGCGATCTTGGTTTCTTAGGGAATATGGCATTGTCCCCCTATCCAAATCCACAGTGATATCTTTTCAGAGCTTAGGTCTACACTTCTTAGGAAGGCATCACTTGAGTAATGAAAGAGTCCTCTCTTAGACAGATCTAGGAGTGACCTGAAAAGCTAACTTTTACAGGAAAGAGAAATTCTACCTATTGTGAGAATCACGGTCCCATGGTACCCACCTACCAAAGGACATTAAACAATTATGTTGGTGTCATTCCCTGATAGGGCCAGCCTTAATGTTGTAGAAAATGCTGAGTCATCTTTCATTCTATGAATCTTTGGCTAGTTGCTAATGCAATTTCAGGTTCCTTTGGGGGTGCTTGTTAGTAGTAGCAAAGAAAGGGGGCAATGAGAAAAGCCCTCTGCTTTGAAATTTATGCCCTACTCTTCTCAGCTCCTTGCCTCCGTGTGATCTACAAGAGAAGACTCTGCTTGGGAGGGAAGACTTATTCCATGTGAACCAACATTCCTTCTTTCATCTTTCATGAGAGCATAAGCAAAGACAGTGCTCCTGCCTGGAGTACTGCGGTACCATCTCTTCTGTTCTAATTTCGTTTGGAGCATTTTGTCTCCGTCTTCAGGACTCCTCCCTGTTTTCAAGCTTAAGATTCCCTTCAACCCTGGATTCCAACAAAGAAACCTTTTATATCTGCAATAATCAGATCGGGCATTATCTCATTGGAAGTCCTCTGTTACTGTTAGGAATGTCAAAAGATCCCCCGACCCTTTGTATCTCCTTGGATGTTCCCATAACACTGATTCTAATCAGTGAATAACAGCTATATTGTAACTGTGTGCCCTTGCCTTTACAATTTGTGATTGCCTGGTGGAAACAGATTTATCTCTGATACTTCAGTCTCTACATGACATGAAGTGAGAAACCCATATCTATGAGGTTAATGGAATTAACTTTAAATTATCTGATCAAGGCTATGGTCCATCTAATCAAAAATCCCACCAGGCAGAATATGCCTGAAAATATCTTCATCTTTTTTCCCACCACAGACTCTTACATGAATGAACTAAAATGAACAAGTCTCACCAGAGGCTGTTTAGTTCATTTTTCTGATATTAGTGTGTGAGTTAGAACCGTCCCAAAGTGCCCAGAATTCAGAGGAGAATAAACATGCTTGATCCAGCACAGGAGGTTCTCTGGCAATTTGGAAGGTGTTGCAGTGTTGGCAAAGTACATCACAGCTCCAGAAGTTGGAAGGGTGCCAAGTTCTCATCAATAAAAACCTGTTTATCTTTTGTTGAACAAAAAGTGCTCTACTCCCTGTGTCCCACTTGCGGCGGTGGGTGGCACAAGACTGACCGAAGAGAAAGAGAGAGGAGAAAACACAGAGATAGAACTAGAGGCAGAGGGGAGGAAGAGAAAGAGAGAGGAGAGAACACAGAGATAGAACTAGAGACAGAGGGGAGGAAGAGAAGTGAGGTGGGGAGGGGTATAAATCAAGAGCCGAGAAAAGTCAGAATGTGCCTGTGTGCTTCTGAGTTCCTGGTGACACTGAGGTATCTTTCAACTGAAGATACCATCTGAAAACCCTTGCAAAGAATGTGAAAGATGTTCACTATCAAAGCTATGCTAAGGGTACTGGAGAGATGGCTCAGTGGTTAAGAGCATTGCCTGCTCTTCCAAGGTCCTGAGTTCAATTCCCAGCAACCACATGATGGCTCACAACCATCCGAAATGAGATCTGGTGCCCTCTTCTGACCTGCAGGCAGACACACAGACAGAATATTGTATACATAATAAATAAATAAATATTTTTTTTTTTTAAAAAAAAAGCTATGCCA